AAAAAATTCAATATCCTGTAAAAAGAGCATTGTTAAATTTCCATAAACTTTTCCATGAAATACATAACAAAAAAAACAAATATCTAAATATAATTATTGAATGGTCAGACTTATAGCTAATATCAATATCACATTTTCTTACATATTGATACAAATCACTTGACAATAGAAAAAAATCTAGTCTACCTTGCTGTATAGGATTTGTGCGTCGCCATGTATATTTTTTGACATCACCATGTAACTCTCTAAGGATCAAAGGAAACTTAAGTTATTTGGCAGACAAGCTTTTTGAAGTCAAGGCCCCTGTGACCTTGACCTTTAACCTGGTGACCTCAAAGTTCAATAGGGGTCATCTACTAATCATGACTAACCTCACTGCAAAATATGACGACTGTCGGTCAAAGGAACTTAAGTAATTGGGGGACAAGCTTTTTTGAAAGTCAAGGCCCCCACCCCTGTGACCTTGACCCTTTTGACCTGATGAATTTCAAAAATCAATAGGGGTCATCTACTAATTCATGACTAACTCCATGGCCAAATATGAAGACTAATGGTCAAAGGAATCTAAGTTATTGGGCGGACAAGCTTTTTGAAGTCAAGGCCCCTGTGACCTTGACCCCTTTTGACCTTGTGAACTCAAAAATCAATAGGGGTTTATCTACTAATGCATGACTACCTCCATGTGCCAAATATGACGACTGTAGGTCAAAAAATCTTAAGTTATTGGGGCGGAAAAGCTTTTTAAAGTCAAAGCCCCCTGTGACCTTGACCTTTAAACCTGGTGACCTCAAAATCAATAGGGGTCATCTACTAATCATGACTAACCTCCATGCCAAATATGAAGACTGTAGGTCAAAGGAATCTTAAGTTATTGGGCGGACAAGCTTTTTGAAGTCAAGGCCCCTGTGACCTTGACCTTTGACCAAGTGACCTCAAAATCAATAGGGGTCATCTACTAATCATGACTAACCTCCATGCCAAATATGAAGACTAAGGGTCAAAGGAATCTTAAGTTATTGGGCGGACAAGAAAAAACCGACGGACGGCCGGACAGCCGGACTGACGGACAAGCTGATTCCAGTATACCCCCCTTACAACTTTGTTGTGCGGGGGTATAAAAATTCAATTGAAATATTTTCAACCTTTACTTCAGGTACCTATTAAATGTTAATTGCCTAACCAGGCCAAAATATTATTGCAACAAAACTTTTTCTTGGCCCTATCATGTGTACTTTCCAATGAATAATAACTGTCTGGTTAACTATATTGCAAAGCCTTGGACTATTAATCAGGCAACTCTGGTTTGCTACTTGGATGGTGCAAGTTACTTTCATTGTGATCGATCATGAAATCCTTTTTTATGGTGTATTCACACTATACCTCTGCTCTGTCATGTACAGAAGTAAGACACTAGTACAGGTAAACTGCTTGACAGCCTGCCAAGGAATGATGTGGTGGCAGAAAACTGTACTGTGGTGAATTCAAATTAGCTTAAAGCCATTATCTCAAGGGTGAAGTACAAAATCACCACCAGGGACATATATATTCGGTCCTACCTGCATCAGAAGCCATTTTTCTTCTTCCATTCTGGTTCTCCTCATGATCTACAGGAGAACTGGATATATTGAGCATCGTAACCTTAGCAACAACATTTTTATGATCTTTAATATCTGTATATAGAGCCATTTCTCTGTTGTCTGTATGTTGTAATACCTACAAATAACAATATAACTAATTTTATTACTTAGCCAACAATTTGCCACATGACCAAAATCATGCTCCTATACTTAAAGTAGGTGTGGCATCATATGTATGAATGTATACTAGAAATGTTTTAAAATTGACTTCATTTCAACTCAGTAGTTATGTTGCTGACAATATGACTATGCAGCAGTACAACATCTTTACAAAATTTGAAGAAAAAATCCTTCAAGGGGTATAGAGTTATAGAGTGGACAGTATGGAGATGAAATGATTGATGTGAGAGCAACTGCAGTATCATTTGGGGGTATATTTAAGTCAGATGATAAACATAAATAGATCTGCAAATAAAAGAAATCAATTCTTATAACCGAAAATATTAAATGAAAAAAATAACAAAGCACCTCTGCCATACTAAGTTGTCCTACAGCCAATGTTTTATATCCAATAATTGGCCGATTTTTATATCTTTTTCTTCTCTGTAACATCACCTGTAGTTTGTTGCCATCTCTCTTCAGGAAATGAGGATACTATAAGATAGAAATAAATATAAGATTATTTTAACTGGACACTCAAACAACAAGACATATTACAAGAACAGTCAAACTTACTTAAAGGACTGACACTTTAATTAATTGATTTGAATACAAGTTTTGAACAAGATATACCTCAGACTCTTAATATGAGTATTATATAAATTCTGTCAACATGTTTGTTTGTTTCTTTATCATAAAACTTACTAAATCATTGAATAATCTCTTCTATCAATTATAACCAGGAATTTTTGAAAGAATTGATATATAACAGTAAATAAAATTTGAAGCTCACATACTGAGTGTTCTATTGTATTACTGACTGCTACAGTTATATTATGATAGTTTATTGTAAGGATAACAAAGATCAGGTTTTACCCCTCAGGTTTTGCATTTAATTCACTATAATATGGAAGGTAATTGATTTTCTTTATTGACAGTAAAATTTTCACAAATACACACAGCATGATTATACTTTGATAGTAAAGGTTTAGGTGCTGTCAATAATAATATATTTTATCATGGGCCAATATACAAATAAAGTATCAAGCACTCCTGTCTAGTTTCACATGTTTTGAAATATGTCACAGTATATCAACACTTGTAATTTGTACTTTAATGCTTACCAGACTTAATCAATGTAACAGACTATCCCTGCTTTGAATATGGAACTGTCCATTGTTAACTTAATTATGTTTGTTTTCGCTAAGTTTTGCACTGATTTTCAACAAACTTTTTTGCTCATATCTCGGCAGTCAATCTACCTAATCAGCAATCCTGGATAACTATTAACCAGTAATTACCAATTTCCAAGTGCCAAACTATAAATCTCACATAATTTTTGAATCAGCGCTTAAAACTTACAAGAGGATAGAACCAACAAAGCCTGGATTACTTCACTCTCACCTTAACAAACGATCTAAGCAGGCCAACAAAGAGGTTTCAACAGAGTTATTAAAACTCAGCAGCCAGCTTTATAAAACTATCCTAATCAAGCAGCAATCAGTACAAAGTCTAGTCAAAGCTCTGACTCTGCTGATGATTAAAGGTACTTCATTTTTGTTCCATTAATTAGCCTCGTGATTGAACCTTTTGTATTTTTTACCTGCAACATGAACGACAGATCCAGCTGTACGTCGGCTAGTGTCACCTCGTGAATCTCTATCTCATTTGATCTCAATACTCGCTTTGAACTCTATAACAAAACACAATATTAATAAAAAAATTTTAAAATGAAATACAATTGAACCTGTTCTTATAGACTGTCTGAGGAATATTGTTTAGAAAGATGATGCCTTCAACAATGTTGTACTAAAATCATACAAAATAGAAACTAAGGTGATGACCTTTAAAAACACATGCATTCAGTACATGTGTATGAAAGCAGATTTTGTCATTGTGAACAAGTTTAACATTGACCTCAATTGTTGATGGTAATTATTACACTTCAAATTCCTGACATCTTTACAAAATAAGACTACCGTATTTAAACCAGGTAAAAAGATTATCTGATTAAGATATCATTTACATACTCCACTTTAATCAGGCCAATATTACATGTACAATAGTATTATGTCAAATAGACAGTACATCATTACACATAATTTGAGGCTTTCAGGGGATTTTTTTACATCATAATCTTACATATAATTTACAAAATCATACACTTTGCATACAAATAAATACAAACTATGATTTAGACACGTACTTCCTTATTAATACTGAACATAAAATACAAATAAAGTTTATACAGTAATCATTTCCATATTTAATGGACAAAAAGCATGAAATCTTAATGTCATGGTTGATAATTCTTTAATTGATGAATAAAATTTGCAAATGGATACTTAAGTCTGTTCATATTCACGGAACAGAGTATATTACAAAAATAAAGCCGCGTTCACGGACCGAAAAAACCTAACATTACAGGCCTTTCCAACCAGCATGATCCAAGACCAGGCCTGCGCATGTCGCCGCAGTTGATCAGGATCCATGCTGTTCACTAACTAAACCTATTAAAGGCAGAGAAACTGATAGCGAACAGCATGGATCCTGATCCGCGCAGGCTGGTCTGGATCCATGCTGGTCGCAAACGCAGTGTTTTGGTTTTGTCGTGACGCGGCCTCATATATGTATTAAAAAAACCTCCTTTATTTAATCAGGCATATTATGTTATGTCATAAAATTAAATTAATATATTATAAGTGTGGTTCAAAATAATATCCTAAAGCATGCCACTGCTTTTATTATCTCTTGCCACTTAATATATTAGCATAATGCATAAATAAACACAAAAAACCTTCTATAAATAAACGATATTGATCAAAATCTTATGAGAAATGAATCACACTTTTTTATCAATATTTTGGTAAAGGACTGGCCTTTAAATAATAACTATTCACAATGCAACATTTCCATAATAGTAAAAGACATTTTCTTACTTGATTTATACATGTGAAAATAGCTAACATACTATCTAAATATGTGAAAAAAATTACATGTTAATATTAACATATCAATATTTTATCAGTTTCAGACTTCATTTATGCATGTATCTTGATTAATCAGATTATAAGAAATAACTCAGAACAGTTTTAACCCAACACTAAACAGCTTATTTTTCTTAATTTTCACATTCTTAAATTTTCAAGAATGAGCTTTAGTCATAAACTAGAACTCCGCGAGTCGGATGTGTTGCCTTGTGAACAATGTAGTTTAGAAGAAATGGCCAGGACAAAAATGAAATATGAAAAATAACAAAGGGCAATAACTAAAAAATGATAAGTGCAGAGCAGCAGTTTCTGTGCACTGCACTTCTTATCAGTAAGATCTATCATTCTATGATGTTTCAAGTCCATAGCTTTCATACTTGAGGAGAAATGACCAGGACAAAAATAAAGTAAGAAAATCAACAAAGGGCAATAACTCAAAAAATAAGAAATGCAGAGTATCAGTTCTTATGCACTGCACTTTTTCTTAATGAGATCTATCATCCTATGAAGTTTCAAGTCCATAACTTTTATACTTTTGGAGAAATGGCCTGGACAAAAATTAAGTATGAAAATTAACAAAGGGCAATAACTCAAAAATTAAGAAATGCAGAGTACCGATTCTTGTGCACTGCACTTCTTCTTAATGAGATCTATCATCCTATGAAGTTTCAAGTCCATAGCTTTTATACTTAAGGAGAAATGGCCCGGACAAAATTAAAGTATGAAAATAAACAAAGGGCAATAACTCAAAAAATAAGAAAGGCAGAGTACCTTTTCTTGTGCACTGCACTTCTTCTTAATGAGACCTATCATTCTATGTAGTTTCAAGTCCATGGCTTTTATACATTAGGAGAAATGGCCCGGACAAAAATAAAGTATGAAAATTAACAAAGGGCAATAACTCAAAAATTAGGAAGTGCAGAGTACCGGTTCTTGTGCACTGCACTTCTTCTTAATGAGATCTATCATCCTATGAAGTTTCAAGTCCATAGCTTTTTTAGTTGAAGAGAAATGGCCCGGACAAAATTAAAGTATGAAAATTAACAAAGGGCAAGAACTCAAAAAATAAGAACTGCAGAGTACCGGTCCTTGTGCACTGCACTTCAGGTTATTGAAAGAAGCATGCATACCAAGTTTGAAGTCAATCAGACATATAGTGACTGAGTTATGCTCTGGACAAGCTTTAGGGACGCCGACAACGACAACGCCGACAAAAGTAACCCCCTATATGTCACCTTTTCAAGGCAACACAAAAATTATGGAAGAATATTCTGGCTATGTTAATGGGGCCATTTTTTTTTACTTCGAACCTGCTTATGAAAAAAACAAAAACAAAAAAACACTGGTAAATGTTTTTACAAACTTTAAATGACGCAAAGAAAAGTTCAATTATATTTACAGTAGTAGAATATACAGTCAGTCCCTTGATACTTCATATAAATTGCATAAAACAATGAATTTCTAGCCCTTTTCTCATATATATTTTGAAAATTCGTTGCACCTATCAGCTCTGTAGCAATATTTAAATCTTACCTGCATTTTCATGGCAATTATTACTGAAGTTAGCTCATTTTCTAGAGGTTTAAGCACAATAAGTCTTGTCAGTCTTAAACTGCATATTCTGAAAATAAAACATGTATTTATTTAATTAAACAAAAATTTTTGATACATTTATTATCCAATGCTATAGAAATCTTAATACAGAGCTCCACATATTGGCTTTTGGCATGCATTGATTATGGATTCTGGGATTTTTCGTCTTGCCTGCAGACCCAAAGCAATCATGGTTTGGGGACAAGTGCTGTATGCCTATCACTGACATCATCCTTGGCCAGTAACCTTCATATCATGAGGGTAAACGTATTACAGTATTTAAATCTATCATGCTTCATCAAGTTGCTCTGATCATATTCTTTAAATGATTATAAATACAATTTTCTTCCAGTGATACTGCTCAATGGTAGATAACTTGACATTTCAAAATATATCACAGATAATTCACAAAGCAAGATATAAGTAATACAGATAAAAGCTGTAAACCAAACTGTCACTCTAGTATAGTACTACTGTTACTACAATGCCATGTATGTGTGTTTTATCATAGAGATTGTGCATTAAATACATGTACGTTGTTAGTTGACTTACGGCAAATCTATGTCTACATGTATGTGTTCATTAACTTAGGTCTACATGTATTTTGTTAGTTAATGTATTAGGACCCTAATGGGCACTATAAGGAACTGAAAAATTGACATCATATGTCAGATGTATACCTTAAAGTACACCCGTATGCAAAATTTAAACAAAGTTTACCGTACGGAAATCAAGTTATGGCTACTTTTCTGAACTCAAGCTAGGATGTTATGAGGGCCCTTTTTTAGAAATGAGGAACCTTTAAATAATCTGCAATAACTTTCTAATGAAAAAATGTTTTCCCATTAATTTTTGGTAAGAAACAAATAGTACCATTCAGCTAACAATCCACATAAGCAAAATTATGGTTTCTACATAAAATTTATGAAATCTGTATAAAAATGTTACCCTACCCCACCCATTTTTACCACGTGTCTGACCATTTTTCTACTTTGGGAGCCTAATTTAAAAAATTCTTAAAATTTACCCAAATGAGTGCCTGTTTTCAAAGTTTCCCTAAATTTTTAAAAAAGTATATTGGTTGATCTTGTAAAATATGAAATACTTTTACCGTCTAGTTTTGATTATATTACACTTTGAAAATATCAGGTATCATATTTATTACTAGATTTAGCATAATTTAGCCAATAAATACCTATATAAATCAAAAAATCAAAATTAAACACTTTTTTTCTTTCCAAATGGGACATGAGAGATACATAAATAATGTTAAAAGAAAAAAAAGAAAGAAAAAAAAAGTTGACCCTTCTGGGGATTGAACCCATGGACCTCATTTTCAATGTAGTTAACATTAGTTCTAGCCTATTTGAATACTCTTCAACGCGGAGGTAATGCATTAGGGTGCTAATACCTTAAGGTCAATTAAGGGCTTAAACAGGTCTTCAGATGATAACATAAATGCAATACATATATTAATTGTGTAGCAACTAATAACCCTTCCTTAAAGTTTGGATTAAATCTACATGTAGTTTAAACATACCTAGACACACCACAAATGTATTATTTAACTGTTAAAATAAGTTTAGATGCAGACTATATAGGGAATGAACATAGAAAATGTATACATTAATTCCTATTTACTATCAAATCAAGACAGTAAACATAGATATATCAACTTTAAGTTATTGTTTGAACTGGCCTGAAGTACTGGTATTTTGTTATCATTTTTCCAAACTGATGAATATAATTTGATTATATATCTACTGATAATCGTTTTTTCATTTTTTGTTATGTTTGATTCAATGTAAAATGGTATGAGATCATCAAACAATAATAAATACTTATGTAATGAGAACTGATACTTGATTCAAATATGATAAAAATATAGTATCAATTACAATAATAGTACTTAACTGCTACTTATTTGACACTGTTTTTATCATCCTAATTCACTGTCACTTTTCAAGGCTGTTCATATTTTAACTGACTGAAGAAGTGATTCTGTTATTAAATGTATGTAATGCTGAGACAGAATGAGTACTGTTTTTATATAACCTATATACTTTATTCTGTATCCCCTCCCTTGGGCCATACATCACTATTTACTGACCAAACATAACGACCCATTCTGTTATTCTAATTTCCAGTCTCACTGTCCCAAATGCTTATTTTTATCGACCTTTTAAAATTTTCGTCCAACAATCCAGTGCATAACACAGTCTATAACACTAAAAATCAGAAGGTTGACGGCAGAATATTATAATGCAACTGTAAACAAAATAAGACTTTTGCTACATAGACTTCAACTTTGATTTTTGAATAAGGTTGTCTTGCTGTGAAAATACTTCTGCAAATAACTTGCAAAACAAGAGGGCCATGATGGCCCTGGGGTAGCTCACCTGTACATACCAGGGCGGGGCCAGTTTAAACCAAAGGGCTTTTATTTGAACAAACTTGGAAGACACCCATTAGAAGATGTTTCATGATGTTAAGTTTTTACTATACACAAATAATGAAAAACAATGACTTTTGCCCCCCCTCCCCCTGGCAGGGCCAATTTTAACCCAAAGGCTTTTATTTGAACAAACTTGGTAGACACCCATTAGAACATGTTTCATGCTAAATATCTTAGCTCTAGCTCTTTGGGTTCTTTAAAAGAAGATTTTTAAGTTTTTAATTACTATATGCAATATAGGGAAAATCAATGACCCCCTAGGGCGGGGCCAATTTTGACCAAAGGGCTTTTATTTGAACAAACTTGGTAAACATCCATTAGAAGATGTTTCATGCTAAATATCTTAGCTCTAGCTCTTTGGGTTCTTTAATAGAAGATTTTAAGTTTTTACTCTATGTATATAGGGAAAATCAATGACCCCTGGGGTGGGGCCAATTTTGACCCCACGGCTTTTATTTGAACAATCTTGGTAGACACCTATTAGAAGATGTGTCATGCTAAATATCTTAGCTCTAGCTCTTTGGGTTCTTTAAAAGAAGATTTTTAAGTTTTTACTACATGTATATAGGGAAAATCAATGACCCCCTGTGGCGGGGCCAATTTTGACCCAAGGGCTTTTATTTGAACAATCTTGGTAGACACCCATTAGAAGATGTTTCATGCTAAATATCTTAGCTCTAGCTCTTTGGGTTCTTTAACAGAAATTTTTTTAAGTTTTTACTATATGCATATTGGGAAGATCAATGACCCCCTGGGGCGGGGCCAATTTTGACCCCAGGGCTTTTATTTGAACAAACTTGGTAGACACTGATTAGAAGATGTTTCATGCTAAATATCTTAGCTCTAGCTCTTTGGGTTTTTTAAGAGAATTTTTTTTAAGTTTTTACTATATGCATATAGGGAAAATCAATGACCCCCTGGGGCTGGGCCAATTTTGACCCCATGGCTTTTATTTGAACAAACTTGGTAGACATCCATTAGAACATGTTTCATGCCAAATATCTTAGCTCTAGCTCTTTGGGTTTTTTAGAAAAAGATTTTTTTAAGTTTTTACTATATGCATATAGGGAAAATCAATGACCCCCTGGGGCGGGGCCAATTTTGATCCCAGGGCTTTTATTTGAACAATCTTGGTAGACACTCATTAGATGATGTTTCATGCTTAATATCTTAGGTCTAGCTCTTTGGGTTCTTTAAAAGAAGATTTTTTTAAGTTTTTACTATATGCATATAGGGAAAATCAATGACCCCCTGGGGCGGGGCCAATTTTGACCCCATGGCTTTTATTTGAACAAACTTGGTAGACATCCATTAGAACATGTTTCATGCCAAATATCTTAGCTCTAGCTCTTTGGGTTTTTTAGAAAAAGATTTTTTTAAGTTTTTACTATATGCATATAGGGAAAATCAATGACCCCCTGGGGCGGGGCCAATTTTGATCCCAGGGCTTTTATTTGAACAATCTTGGTAGACACTCATTAGATGATGTTTCATGCTTAATATCTTAGGTCTAGCTCTTTGGGTTCTTTAAAAGAAGATTTTTTTAAGTTTTTACTATATGCATATAGGGAAAATCAATGACCCCCTGGGGCGGGGCCAATTTTGACCCCAGGGCTTTTATTTGAACAAACTTGGTAGACATTCATTAGAACATGTTTCATGCCAAATATCTAAGCTCTAGCTCTTTAGGTTTTTTAGACGAAGATTTTTTTAAGTTTTTACTATATGCATATAGGGAAAATCAATGACCCCCTGGGGCGGGGCCAATTTTGACCCCAGGGCTTTTATTTGAACAATCTTGGTAGACACTCATTAGACGATGTTTCATGCTTAATATCTTAGGTCTAGCTCTTTGGGTTCTTTAAAAGAAGATTTTTTAAGTTTTTACTATATGCATATAGGGAAAATCAATGACCCCCTGGGGCGGGGCCAATTTTGACCCCAGGGCTTTTATTTGAACAATCTTGGTAGACACTCACTAGAAGATGTTTCATGCCAAATATCTAAGCTCTAGCTCTTTGGGTTTTCTAGAAGAAGATGTTTAAAGTTTTTTCTTTTGGTTGCCATGGCAACCAGAGTTCTGCATGGAATGGATTTCTTTGAACAACTTTGTTAAGGCTTCACACAAGGAACATCCCTGTGAAGTTTCATTATGATCTGCCTTATGGTTTCAGAGGAGATGTCGTTTGAAAAGTGTGACGGACAACGTACGACGTACGACGGACGACAGACGACGGACGAAGAGTGATCCTAATAGCTCACCCTGAGCATATGCTCAGGTGAGCTAAAAAACAACAAGAGAACTTACAAATTTGTTTAGACCCTTGACTTATCTTTTATATTTTTTATCACTATTGTAAAATTTACAGTGCTCTGTTTTGCTTTGTACATTCTTGTCATATTATTATTATTTGTATTTTATTAATTAAGTTATTTTCACTTGGCCTTCAGGACAAGTTCTTTTACAATTTATGGTAAAACATATCTACACAGGGATCATTCTTGGGGGCAATTTGTGCAATGTCTCATCAAAATCACATTGAAATTGGTAAATGAGAGAAAATCTCACATTT